ACTTCCCTTTGAACCACAAAACATGTCGATGTCCTCTTTAACGCCTTCCACATTTGCATACGTTTCCCCTTTAAGATGGTATTGCAGCAAACAAAAAAGATGGTAATCTGATGGTGCCATATATAGGAGAATATGATGAGTAGGGGAGAACTTCCCAACCCAATTCCATAATCTTGTGTTGCCTCAAACGTGCCACACGTGGACGTGCATTGTTGTGGAGAAAAAGAACACCTTTCCGATTGACGAGTGAAGGGCGTTTCTGATGAAGGGCTTGATTTAAATGTTCCAGTTGCTGACTATAGATCTCTGCATTGACAGTTCGCTGTGGATTGAGGAGATCGAAATGAATTACTCCTTTGATATTCTACCAAATGCAAAGCCTCACTTTCTGTGGATGGAGTCCAGATTTTGGGGGTCGAAAATGGTTTTTGTCTGGGACTGAGCCATTGTTTTTGGCGTTTAATATTCGCATAGAGAATCCATTTTTACATCACCGGTGAAAATTCTGTCCAAAAATGGTTCACGAGCATTACGCGCCAGAAGAGACGAAGCAATGTTCACACGTTGGAAACGATGATCATCGGAGAGTTTGCGAGGCACCCAAACAACTTCTTTATGGAGTTTTCCCATATTCCTTAGATGCTTATGTATTGTTTCATGAGAGACATGCTATTTCAGGGCCATTTCACAAGTGTGTGGCCTTGGGTTAGATTCAGCAAGCGTCTACAGGACATCAATATCAATTCCAATATGTTGGCCCCTGCAATCACAGTTTTTAAGGCTAAAGTCACCTGAACGAAATTTGCTGAACCATCGTTGACATTTACGAACGTTCAAAACATTTCCATAAACTTCTTTGATATTCTTTGAGGCTGCAGAGGTGTTTCTTGTATTCAAACAGCAATGCATGCCGAATGTGTGTCTCGTCGTGTGCCATCACCATAAGGGATTAGAGTATATTAAACTTTACTAATTATATAGGCTACACTAACATGAAGTTTAGGCGGTTCGTTTAACTATTATACGTAATGTAAGTTTTTTTTTGGGAGGTGGTTACTGAAAGTGTTCAAAAACGCGACATTATTTTCTTGACGACCTAATATCTTACATTATATTGAAAGAGAAAAAATAACTGTTCCACAGTCTATCAAACTCCGAAAATACCCCTATGATTTGCTCTGAAAACAGAATGACATTCGTATTAAATAATGTTCTACAGGCTATACATAAATTAAAACTAAAAGTTTTAACCTACGAAATGGAATTAAAACAGTGCAGTTCCTGGTTTTTAACTGTAAATTGACATCCAGAGCTTACAGAGAAATGGTCAATGTTTGACTTTATCTTTCTCACTGTTAAGTGTTGTTACAGCGTATAACTAGAACAACTATAGTGTATTATAAGGTTTACAGAGAACTAGCAAAATTCACTCTAGCCTTGATATTCTTACTAGGATGACTATTTTGTTCAGCTTGAAAACTGTTCAGTAGATGATTTTAAACTTTCAGTTCCTCGAACTTCCAGTTAACTTCAAGAATGTTCAACATCCATTTATTTCAAAGTTTTTAGTTTACAGACCAAACTAGCACAGTATTTTGTAATGCAGAACAAACTTAATATTGTTTTACAGATTATACACAAACTTCATTAAGAAAACTGAAGCAAAAGACAATGCCAAACGTTTAAAACCTTCAACTGTAAAATACATTGAAACTAAAAGTAAACAGCACTGTATTCAAAGTAAAATGAGGTTTGGATCTTCAAACTAATTATTAAACGTTATATCATTTATTCTCTTGTTTGATTAATGGGTATGTTTTATGTATTTGTTTAGAGAAGAATGGGAATGGCTGAAATCTCTGAAGTCTTCAGACACTACCATCGCGCCATCTACTGTTCAACTGAAGTTTCAAAAAGCAATTTCGTCAGCAGCAAAAAACCTATTTTCTTCTTATGACATTCCACTAGTAGAATTAGGCTTTCATAGGTAAGGTACTTACTTTAAACGTCTATATATACATTGGAAGGACGGTACAATTTTGTTGTCTTTAAATAGGCCTGTTTATTTATATAGTTTTTTTTTTATTAAGGACGCTTAAAATGTTTGTGATTTAAACGTTTCTTGCCAAATCTGTACAGGTTGTACGACGTTGACGTTATTGAAATGAGTCCAAATGTCTCCTTTCTACTTGTGCTGCCCCCTGTTGAGAATGTTTGCTCTATACCTGGACAATATGATGATCTGACGTCGCGAATGGATTGTATTCCACTTCCGATTCAAGTATTTGAAATACGTAAGTTTCTGGAACTGTTACTCAAAGCTTTATGTCTGCATTTCAGGACATAAGTTTTACCATTTTGTAAATTATAAATACAAAATATGTGGTTGAATATTGAATAATCTTAAGCGAAACAGGAAAGACTTGATAAATTTTGATGGGGATAAAGGCGACCTGTTTTCAGAAAATACTTTCACAGCATTTCGGTTTTCAAAACATGTTCAAGGGTCTGCGCTCTTGTCATGGTTCTGGCATAATGCTACTGTAAAGTTGTGAAAATGAAAATACTTTTTCTCATTGGAAAAACGATGTGTTTTAACACTGTGTTTAGTAAATTTCGTGTTTGTGCTTTTGTAAATGGTTAACGTCAATTTTTATATTATTAAGTCTGTCACCATAGTAATAACGTGTTTTAGAAGTAGTCGAGTTTGTTCATTTTTTTCCTCATCTTCTCATCACAGTCCACATGACAACCTACCGATACAACTTCATTGTCCACTATTCCCGACTTTCGTCCATCCTGGAGATGGATACTTTAATGGCCCAACATGCACTGCGAGAGGTGAGACTGATGTCTTTTTTTCTGCAATATAAATTTAGTGTTAATACCAACCAGGTAAAGAAAACATTAATAAAAAAATCGTAGATGTAACATTGCTGCAAACTGTGATAACAAATGAGTATTGAAGAAACAGAGAAAAAATCTAAATCTAACTGAAGGATGAAGAGAGAAAAATTAATTTGTGTTCAACATTATAATGAGGTTAGGCGAGACGGCTAATTTATTAAACAAACTTTATATAATCAAATATACGAAATAAGGAGAGAGCTAAATATTAAAAAGCATATTCAATAAATCATTGTACGATAGCAAGTGTAACCTTAAAAAACCTACATTGTTTTGTAGTTCATTTCAAGGTTGTGGGCGAACGTGTTCTAATGGTTAGCCTACCAGACTATCGATTCGAAAGTTCACGGTTTGCGTTCTATTGCCATAAATAAAATCACCATAAGTAGGTTATAAGATTCGTTTGTTTGTAGTTAAGCACAAAGCTACACAAAAGGCTATCTGTGTTCTGCCCGCCACTGGTATCATATCGAAACCCAGTTTGTAGCGTTGTAAGTCCACAGACATGCCGCTATGTCACTGAGGGGGTAGGTTATAAGAGCGGTACGCATATCTCACTATTCGGTTAGATAGCCCAAGAATCGGCGGATGGCTCTGTTTTATAGCTGCTTCCATCTTCTCTATAGTCCAGACAGCGCTTCTGTGACCTCCCGAGAAAATCCGAAACAATCCAAAATATCGCATTATAAAGAAAACACAGCAGGAAATAAAACTTATCTTTTATTAAAGAAACTGGGAACTAGGTTACTCATATTTGATACGAATTTTGATAATTGAAAAATGTAAAAAAATTGGCAAATGCAAAGCATTTGTAATATATATATATAAATTACAAAAGCTGCCACGTAGTTCAATGAATACTCGGCTACAAAGAATAAGTTGCAATATATATATATATATATATATATATATAT